CTAAATTTTCAATAATATCATTTAACTTTACAACTTAACACTCAGCTATCTCTTCTTTTAATTAGTCTTTTGAGAGACAAGAACGCTAATGAAGACGTAGACTTAATTAAATTTTTCAGAATTCGTAGTTAAAGTACATTTTTTCTTGTTGCCAACGAGGAAGCGATCTCAAGGAGCAGTGAACTTTGTCGAGTGCTCTTCACACACCTGTGGTTTACTCACACACACATGCATTAGTTCCGACGATTTATAGTTTCAAAGTCCCACCGGACGGGTATCTCACGTTTTTTAAAGCTTATACCTATGTGACAACAGCAGCGATGAGAACTCATTTACATGCGACGATTTAACTTATAACTCAAGAAATTATGCAATCTTAATTACTAAGAAAAAGTTATGAAGCATTACTCTACGATTTGAAATATTTTTGACAAGTCATCGTGATAAATATTCTAAGGTTTGCGCTTCAATTGATTAACGGTGTTACTTCTAAGTACACGCTCTGAAACTTCCAGTTGTGCATCGACTTAAACATCTCTGAAATTAAGAAATCTTAATTTTGAATTGTCGCATTCTTTCAAAGTTCCAATCATATTTATCTGTTGCCTGTCGACTTTTCAAACCATCTGATTTTCTAACTGATTTTTTTTTTAATTTTTGTTGAATATAATTTTACTTAAAAGTTTATTATGACATCTTAATGGTTTCCCGTCACGGTTGTGACGTACGTGTCTTGGTCAACTTCGTTATTAACACATTAGTTCCAGTAATTCATTAATTGCCTGTGATTTTTAGAGCTTTGAAGTTACCTTTTGATGGTGAAGCCCATTAAGGGCATTTATTTTTTTGACATGAAACGTTTTTACTTCTAACAATAAATCTATTACGACTTTTTGAACGAAGGTTTTTGTTTGATTTTTAGAGAAGAAATTATACGTCAAGAACTTTTGGTGATTGATTTGAGTTAAAGAAACTTCAAGGGAAACTTTCGAATATTAAGAAGTCATAAGGTGTATATTGATTTTTAATATTTTTAACGACAATAGATATCATAGATCAATTATTAGATGGATATTATAATAAATTTAGTTATTACACATAAGTAGTTTAAATTAATCAAAATGTTAACTCATAAATACTAAGAATCAGTTATTATAACATTACAGATAAACAATGTAAAATTTATATCCTAAGTCTAGATAGTAAAAAGATATTGATACACGTATGGTACCTAAACATTTCATTATTATTTTACAAAGTAAACTATTACATATCGCTTTGTCATTTTCATGCATAAATCTATATTAAGACTGAAAGCCAATAACCCCGAAGTACGAATGAGCTATTACGGTTTGGCAGTCAACAAACTGGAATATATTTAGTGCGTAGCAGGTGCCTATTTTTTATTAAATACTTTTTAACAAAAATATATAAACCGCCGAAAAGTAAAAAATAATAAACCTTTTTTAACTTTAGTCAAATTAATATTTGGAGTCAGTGCCAGAGCCAGGCCAACCCAAGTAGTAAATGGGAACCCAGATCTGTCAGACCTATATGGCACTCCAAATATTAATTTGACTAAAAATAAAAAAAGGGTTCATTATTTTTTAATTTTCGGCGATTTTTTTTTCTTAAAAAGTTTTTATTTTACAAGTGGCTATAATTTTTGTAATATACAAGACGGCATCAAAATTTGTGAGTGAACAATCAATCATCCCCTGTTTTCATACCCTTAGAGTTGGATTTTTTTTCTCCAAGTTCATAATATGGGACCAAGTATATACCCTGAAGGTATACACTTTCCAATAAAAATGGAATTATCAAAATCGGACTACTCTGTAAAAAATTATGCGTGATCACAAATAAAAAAAAACATCGGTTAAAAAATACTTACCTTCGTAGTTTTCTTGCCAATCAATCTTTTAATGTAAAGCTCTCGAATGATAAGTGTATAGATGTTCCGTAGTATTATTGTAGGTAAATTTTAAGAAATGCTGGTAAGTATAATGAATCATGTGCTCTAGATAAAACAGCTTCAGTTATAAAAAAAGTGCAGTCATATGATTACTATAAATACACCAGAATCACTGTGTACCTTTATCTTGAAGTACAACGAAGTTAGTAGAAAAGGTAAAATATTTTTTATGGAAATTCTGTGCCACTTTTTACAAGTTATGTCTTTAGAATTCTAATCGTCATTACTTTTTTTTATTTACCACAAAGCTTTTTTTTTCGCACAGAAGCCGTTTCTTGGGTGTTAATATTTTATTTTATGACTTGTAGGTGTAAATTTTTTATAGGTCTTATTATTGAGTGAGTGCTAATAGTATTTTGGTTTACGTAATCATATTATAATCCTGACCCACTCTCTGGTTAATTTTTTGGGTTTTCCGATTTAAATAACTTTAATAATATTTAAAACACATAAATTGAATTTTGTACTTAGACCCAAGCATATGTCATAAATTTATAATAGTTCATTTTAGTGCCGTGAACTGAAATGAACTACCATTTGTACCTACCAGTCTATGGACGGCCGAAGTTATTGTACGAGAATAACTATACAACTTCGTTCCATTTACCAGTCAAGTATTAGTTACATTCATATATTATGTCGGAAAGCAAATTGCATACAACTCGCTTTGTAATAAATTATTCTCATTTAAAGCCCATTTACGCTTCACCTTACGATAAATAGATCTACACTATTAACCCCAAAGACGTGTCTTTAAATTATTCGCTTAAAATTTTAACGTGTACGGGACACGATGAGTATTTTTTTTCATTTGATCTTGTCTTTAAAACAATAAAACAAAGGTAAATTGAAATCAAGATATAATCTATACAAAACTAAGGCTCTTTTTGTCTGATGAGTTCTACTGAGACGTTGATACTCCGCTCCACCTAACTCGTGGAACCACTTGCGCATTTTTTTTTTTAAATTGCATCTTGATAAAATCACGCTTAAGTCTCATTCTATTTCTATTGGCTTCAAAAAGATGACAGAGATAAATTGATGTCTTATATTTGGATTTGACTTATAAATGTAATTCATGAATGTTGATGAAAGACTGTCGATAGCAGCATACATTCTCGTTAATAAAAAAAACACAATAAAATGCATTCTATAAAACTTCGTAAATATTTAGTAGTCATTCTTTTGTTTCAATCATCCTAAAGTGCTTACTCTCATGGTGTTAACGAATGTTTGTTAGGTATTTAGGTGTTTTCTGCACGTTAATTACTGTCTGCAGTTGTAGTTAATTGCTAGACTCATAACGCTTCACGTGTCCATCGTTTCACAGTTCAAGTGTACAGTGTAAGGCAACACTGTTTCAACTGTATCTTAAAATGTACCTACTTCATAATTGTCATTTATCGGAAAATATTAGTTTCGTATATAATGTAAAGAACTTAAAAAAATGTTTGAGCCACGAAATGAAGCAACTTTTTCCGAGAGACATGGGTCAAATTACGTAATAATATTTGAACACCAAAACTTACTTAACTTGATCGTGATTTCTGATTCTAGGAATAGTTTCAATATTGATATCATGATTTCTTTGGACAAGTTTATACTGTTACACTCAAACTTTTTGGTGAAGTCTGGAATAGTATTGAAACCAAATTGAAACTGAGAAAGTCAAGATATTATCAGATACAGATAAACACACAGCCACTTTTGTTGTTATTAATTCAAAATTAACATGGTATTAATGTACATTGAAATACAAATAAATATAATAAATAATAGTACCCATTGCAAGTTATAATATTTCAATGAATCTATTCGACTTCTAGTTAGTATTTCTTTTTTTTTTTTTTTTTTTTGTGACGAGGGAAAATGCAGTTACGCACCATACCGTGACGCTGACTAGGCGCACGGCGTGTGTGGGACTCGCCGGCACGGGAAACAGTGCCGACCCTACTCAAGCAGGACCAGTGCGGAAGGCCACACTGATCCTACTCCACTAAAACCCCCCGGTACCCTCCTACGCCCATATGGGGGCGTCTCAGGATCGACGCACCTTAGCGTGCGCCACTTCACTGGGACGTCCCCGGGAGTTGGTATTTCTTAGTTAAATTACAAAAAAAATATATATCCGATTCGATTACTTAGTTACGCCTAGTAATATGTATTTTATAATATTTTATTTTATTTATTGCATCTTCAAATAGTTATATACACAAGGCGTGTATTTTGGTCCATACAGTGCAGCAGTTTGTTATAAAAGTAACTTTATTTATATTATAAAACAAACATCGTTATTTAACCAATTGTTGTACAATTTTTACTTTTTGTTTCCAATTAGGTTTTTAATTAAAAACCATTCATAATAAAAACCAACACAACACCTTAATTTCTTTAAGCAACTATCACAATTTCAGAACATGGGAACAAGCGCGGCTGTTGATTACAACAAACAATAACATTCCATCCACCAAATATAAAGCTTGGAATTTGAATATAATGCTCTACCAGACTAGTGTCGATCAAATGGTGCAACCTTGATGTGTCAAGGACCCCAAAAGAACCAAAGAACCGAGGTTCAATGTTGTCATAACAAACATAATTACCCAACTATTTCCATTTGACCAGCTTATTCTTTATTTACTTACGATGTTTTCTGGGTACAGTTATTTAGTGCCTTCGAATTAAGTTAATAGGTTATCTCAAATACATGGATCTCCTTGAAAGTATGTAGCCACCACTATGCCACCAATGCGGTGTTTATGCTAAAGATGACAAAGCTTCATCGCTGGTATTTTCTTCAAAATATGCAATTGCCATTTCGTTAAGTTCGGATAATTTTATTCCGATTTACATTTTAACAGTTAACAGAAAAAAAAACTTCAGTCGTATCTGTACGTCCACAATCGGTACTGCCGTTACCTCTCGTCGTCGTAATAATTCTCATACATGAGTTATTCCTAATTTTGTTTGTGTCACCAAAATTATATCTGTTTCGATATATTTTTATATATTCTTTTTTTTTCAGATTTTGTAGTAAATCCAACACTATGCCTGTCTGCATATGCCTATAATCTATCACAGATTTCATCATAATGTAAGTTTCACTATTATTTTTATAATATTAATCGTAGCTCAAATCGTATAATATTGCTCAATTGTATTATGTTATAATGAAATAATATTCCTGCCTGAATGAGTCAATGCTTTCATTCAGGAAATAGAAAAATCTATCAAGATATCAAGAAAGGGCCGTTTCGGGAATCATAATCTTCTCCATCATAATGTTTCATATATTATGTACCTAGTTAATTTTATATTCCTCCTAATATAACAAATGTGATAGTGGAATCCTTCCGTCCGTCTGCTGGTGTAGGAGTAGTGTTTGTAGTTTAATGGGTAGGGCCCTGCTCATTTTAACGAGCCCTGAGATGGACGAAATGAGTTGGAAGGAGTTTCCAACAATCCTTGTTGCAACGTTTTGTGACGAAGAAAGTGTTATGCCTTTTTCAGACCTTTAATAAAAGGGAATGATGTGTTGTTGATCGAAGGCTTGATGGTCAATACGCGTTGGTATTAGAATCACAACTGGCCATTATAGGTAGAGTACAAGATGAGGAGCTGGCGAACAAAACGGTATAATTACGCATATGGTTTTTACCATATACTCTTTTTTTTAGCCCGCGGAGATTTAGGGCCAGCTGACTTTGAATTTCAACTCATGTGAATCATAACCGCCTACAATAGTGTTAAAATTACTAAATTTAAAATCACGCCAAAAGCTCACTGCAGGTATGTCATTCTGTATTTTACTGCTCCTGTAAAATTTAATTTGATGTAATTATATCGTTTTGTTCGCCAGCTCCTTATTGTTATCTTATTTGTATTATTTTCGACATGAAATACACCCGAACTAAAAGTTTTGTTTATTACAACTGCTATTGAGTCCGAGAGATTTACTTAATAGTGTATTTTAATAATCTTATAAAGCAAGACTAGGGTAGGTTTCGATAAATACCCCAACTTGTTCAATTGAGATGGGCCCAAGCAACCGGTTTGTAGTAAGATTCAATTATTTCACATTTATAATTCGTTTTCTGGGTCACGACTTTGATCGAGTTTGCTTCAAGAGCTGATCGGCAGTTATGTTATTTGTGTTTATAAATATTTATCGCGATTGCTGTGAATTATCGTAATAAAAAAGCATTAGGTAATTTTTAACAAATTTAATTCACAAGGACTGTTGCTTAAGATTTATCTTTTCAACAAATCGAGGTTAAATTGAAACAATTTTAGGCTATATTTGTAATGAAAGATGCTAATACACTGTATAGTTGTACCCTAAGATTTTTTTATGTATAGAATCTATAGGTAAGCTACAAATGTTAGGGCACGCAAAAAATATTCGCTGCAATTACCTTACCTACTCAGACGAAACCCGTGGAGATCTCAAAACCAATTAGGTACTTTATTTCACTGTGGTCTTCTTCAATCGATGTAAAGGTACGACGAGACATAGATATGGATTACATTCGTATGTGGGTGACATTCTTCCACTACCTACCTCATACCTACTGCGTACCTCATAATTCGCATGTTCCTCCATCATGCGAACCGTAATGGATTTTTCTTAGGCGAGATTCTCTGATTAATTTAAAGCAAGAGTACAAATGGATTTTTGAGTCTGCGTGCTCCAGGTCTATTGAATAGAATAGAATATATTTTTTTAACCCTCGTTTACATATTTACAAATACAAATTTATCAAATCTCAGGACTAACCAGGACCATGGGTTATTGCGGTCAAACGCACTCAAAAATGTTATATAAAATGTAATTATCACAGACGGACGCTGCAATCTTGAGTTGACGATCCGCAAATCCTAGCGGATAGCTACCTCACTTGGACTAAGTGACTAGGACCCATTACCATTACTATTAAAAATAGGTCCAGCGAACGTTCTCAGCGTTAGAAATAAATCGATATGGATGCTGGACTCGATAATCGGATTTTCCTCTCCGTGCCCGGGCGGCCGGTGACCGGCGCGGCGGCGGCGGAGGCGTTCAGGAAGTGCACCCGCTCCACGCGCGAGTGGACAACATTATTATTCCCGCTCAACTGGCTAGACGATATATTGAGACCGTAGTTATGTGTAAGGTTTAGTTAAACGTTAAAGTTTTGTAGAATCATGGTGATAAAACACCTGATAAAACAACAATAAGTATAAGGTGCGATTCGAAATACCAAGCATAATGCAAATCTAATTAGTAGATCAACTTCAGATTATTCTTGTTTTCTTCTTCATAGTGAATCAAACTATTTGACGTCAAAGATGTTTTGACGACTAATAAGTAATTGTTTGTAGGCATACAAAATTTAGATGCCGATATAGATACTTACAGAAAATTAACATCGCAAATAGGCATTAATTAAATAAGTGGGGATTCTCAATATTCAAACAGGCGTCTGTTTCTTTTTTAAAGATAGTGTAATTGTTAACTCTAATAAATATATTATGATATGAGTAAGCATATTATAATAGGATGAAAGATTGTTAGAAAGTTATAGTTATATAAGCATGTTTAATATGTGTAGGTTTTTAATTGGCTTTTAGATATTGTTTTTTGTTTATTTAATAAGTTATGATAGCTGTAAACCTTCCTAAAATAAAATAAATAAATAAATCGGTATTCCTGTCATCGATCCTAAACGATGTTAAAAACTAAAGATTGTTTGGACTTAAATTTTATTATATAAAGTTTTGAAAACAAAACAAGCAAACCAAGGTGTAATTGTAAAAATATTTCACAAAATTAAACCGTTACTCTTACCACAATGACAAGCTCAAAATTATCGCTGACATTGTGATCTCAATTGGCACTTATAATGTCTTAGCAGTTTTACGTAAGTTGAATATTGTAAGAAATTCAAGGCACAGTACATACAAGAATTGTGTTGAAGGTTTTAACAGAACAAAAATACTGCTTCGATAACGACAGGTTTACCGTGATGATGTGTTCTCGTAATCTGAATTAGCAAAATTCCGTCACCATTCCAAAACAAAGTGTGTATACTTACGATTGCCTACTTCCTATGCAAACATGTTCCATAAAGTGCTCGCTAAGCAAATATTACAAACCATGCGTCATCATGTACATTTAGTTCAATGTTCAAAATAAATGTACACAATATTTTATTCTCCGTATCGAATCGAAATACTTTTTGAAATCTTAAATATCAAAACCATAATACTCAAGGAAATCTTGGAAATTACAATCTCGTTCCAAAATCAAATTTGCTTACTATAGCGTAGGTAAGCACGAGAAAACCCACCTGACAATAATATCAGACTTATAAGCTTGCGTTCATCCTTCTACGACTTTTTATAGCTTAATATACATTGGCCATATTGTTGATGCTTAAGCGATACGTACTTAGGTCACGCAGCAATGGTAGGTGATGTAATCCGTGTAGAAGCGTGCTCTGTCGCTGATTCCGAACACCTTGTACTACGATGCCGGCAAAATTACTTTAGTACTGTGTCGCGTTCCTCCCGCAACGCACGTTTTGGCGTTCGTCAGAGAATTTATAATCATAATATTGACATTTGATTTGTTAACAGCGGCGTTAATAACAATATTAAAGTGAAGTAATTGTATATTGATCGTGCGCTTAATAAGTTAAGTGTAGTGTCTTCAATATATAAAATTGGATAAACTTCGAGGAAGCTTAATCAAATTTAACTGAAAAGGTAAAAATTGTATTAATTCATATTAATAATCTGTCGAAAGAAATTTCAAAATCTGGGACTTATTAGTTAACAATTTCTAAATGTATATGTTTAAATTAATTTTAAACAAGTTTGACTTTATTTTGAATTTTGAATAATTGATTACTTTATGTGTAAAAATGTAACATAAACAAAAATATTTACTACTATAAAAAGAAAAATAATCATTTTTATACTTTTCATTCAAGTATCTAAGTCACATTTGTACATAATAATAATAAATTTTGCAATAAGTATCTAATATTCTCAAGTTTCATTAATGTGCGGCGACAGAGTATCAACTATTATATTCTTCTAAAATTCAAAAATCTTATATGCACACAAACATGCCTGTTTTGTTTTTTCTTTCACTGGATGTGGAGACAAAACTTATTTGTGTGATTTCTTATAATAGTTTAAGAATTACAAGATTTCTTTAAAAAAGAAAATATCTTTTTGACACATAAATGTAAAGTAAACATGAACTGCCTGATACAAGAGCAAAAAAAAAATCCCAGAAATGTAAGCACTTAAAATACTCAGTCGCAAGTAAAAAAATATGATGATAAGAACATGGGAAACTAGGTATTCATAGTTGAATCATAAAATTTCATGACGTGTCGCTAAGGTCACATTTGCCATTAACATGCGCCATGACTACGCTTTGTATTTTTGAAACGTTCATTAAAAAAGCTACACAGATAAATAATAATGTACCAAAAACCCAGAGGTGATGATGAAATTTGCATAAGTAAGAAAGACGCGAAGAAAGAAAAAAGTTAGAAGAGTTTTCATTAACTTTTATTGTCTCTGGATCTTTTAAATTTTAATAATGCATAGACTTATTTTGCTTGTTGTAATGAAAATACCAAATAAAGGATCACTTGTACAAAACAAAAATAAAACTCGAAATGTTAAAAGCGCTCTACAAGATTCGTCATTACAAATTGAGCAATAACTATTCTACAATTCGGGAGAGAGCATTGCATGATGCATGTAACTCGAGAAGATAAAAATTACTACATAATCAAAATCATAGCTTAACTTTGAACTTTAACGTGTTTAATGAAGGTTGAAATGCATCAGCGCATACCGGCGAATGATTCATAGTAACTATCATTATAAATCAACGTAGTTCAGTACACCAAGACAAATCACTGACGCCACTACTCTGTGATGTTTCATATAGCTTATGTGTATCATCAACTCATTTTTAAGTATATGAATGTGAATCTATTCATGGAAATGTAATAATGTAATACGTTGAAGCATTATGTAAGTATTCCAAAACAAACCTTGAAGAAAATCTAAATTTGTCACATCTTTTTA